CCTTAGTCTTCAGGAGAAAGTAATCATTATGATATTGATTGCATTTTATGCTTGTTATTTTGTACCATGCATATGTGAAGGCCTTACTATCTCATAGCTAGCTGTTTAGTTTGTTTGAATTCTACACCACTTTCTTTAAAGAACTGAAGATAGCATACATAGCGCTCCATCCTTCTCTTTTCCCCCCTAAAGACTAATGTGTTTTGGAAAATAATTTGCCCCCCTTTTCTTTGTGGAATACTGCTATCATGTCACCCCTGGATCTTTTCTCTACACTAACAAAACCCAGTTTCTGCAACCGTTCTTCATATGTTTTTGTCTCCAGGCCCTTAATCATCTTAGTTGCTCTTTGCACTTTTTCCAAAGTCTCAACATCTTTTTTGTAATGTGGTGAGCAAAACTGGATGCAGTATTCCAGGTGTGATCTTACTAAGGATTTATAAAGGGGCACGTGATTTTGATTCTATGCCTGTTTATACAACCAAGGATTGTTTTAGCTTTTTTTACTGCTTTCCCTTCCTTCCTTCTTTCCTTCCTTCCCCCTTCGTTCCATCCTCCCGCCCTCCTTCCCACACTCCCTCCCTCCCTCCCTTCCTTCCCATCTACCTGCCTTCCTGCCAGCTTCCCTATTCATTTTTCTTATGGGAAGGGGAGAAAGTCATTGGGGAAGACAACAGGGATATGGAGGTTCAACGCCACCAGGCACATTGCTGCTACTGGATAAGAGAGGAAACGCGAGGTTGCACAGAGTTGCACTTCAGGAAATGCTACATGGAGCTGAACAAGAGGTGCTGGGTGGTTTGCAAAGAGCACATGGGAATTGTAGCAGATCAGGAGTGCATGGGGGATCATGGTATGTGAGAGGTGCCACGCTGGTTGGAAATGGTGTTTGCAGAGGTGACACAGGATAGATAGGGTGCCTGGGGATGTTTGGGTGTGTGAAAGAGGTGCTATGTGTGTCATTCCAAACTTTTGCAACTCATCAACGAATAAGATTCAACTTAATTAAGTGGTAACTTATGAATGCTCTATACACACAAACATGCATGCATACTTCACTTTCACAAAATCAATGTAAACTTTATGGGATGTAAGAGGGTGAGGAATAACCAGAAAGAATTTAGGATTATTTATTTCTTCCCTTATCCCTTTGTGATGAGGGAAATGACAAACTGGGAAGGTGAGGAGAAACTTCATTTTGCTAGCACTCAGGCATTGTAGCAAATGTAGACAGGTAACATATAAAGTACCTGCAGTTTATCAGTGTGGTACCTCCTGTTTTTATTTTTGTTTTTGTCTGAAAACTGCTACAGCAAGAGAAGGAGGGTGTTAGCTAGTTTTATAGTAGCAGGAGGAAATGTTGACACTGCTTTTGAGTGATAGAGTATAATCATTATAAATTTATAAAGGGCTTATGTCCTCCATTTATTTTATGTAAATTATGCATCCATGTATGATGTAGTCATGGCTTATCATATCGTATTGTACACAGGAGCAAAAGATTGCTCTTCTAATCAATTGGGCAAAGATAAATGTAACATAAAATGATGTTCCATTCCTGCTGCATTTTCTGCTTCTTTCAATAGCACTAGTAGATCTGCGAAAATAAGCATTTGCGACCCAAGGGAAAATATCTATCTACAAATACAAAGATAATTATGTTGTTTCTTGTCTGTTTGGAACATTGTGGCAAACGTTGCATCTTAGAAAAATGTACTCTACAAGACTTTTGAAGGCAAATAGAAGTGCTTTTTTTTCCAGGTGGTAGCACTCATTATTTTCCATTCAAACCGATGGTGTGCCAGCATGCAAAATACACAGATCAACACTATGCAGCAGATTTGAAGCCCATAGACTGTCTTACCCTGGACAGTTTTAACACAATTTATTCCTGCTGAAGATATAAATACAATATTGTTAGGTCCCAAAGCGTTTCGTGATTTGTATCTCTCTCTGGTACCTTCGAAACCGATCTACAATGAGATTGTTTCACTGGTCTCTGGCACCAAGAGACCGGGGCAAATTAATTTGCATGAATTCCCTCTTTCCAAGCACAATTATAGGTATTGACCCAGAAAGCCCTAAATAATCTAGGACCAATATATTTGACGGGTCCTCCTATCCTGTACAAAATTGCCTCCTTGCCAAAGCTTGGTTTCTGGCCTTCCTTGAGCATTTTAAAAGACGGTAATTTAGGGGAAAATTGGGGGTGGAAGTGGATTTAGTCTACGCTTTGTTGTTTTTCTTCTAAGAGATGTTACTGGTTTGATCACTGTGTCACAGGATGTTTGATTTTCTTCTAAATTGTGTTGGGCTTTTGGAAAGGGATACAGTGTTTATTTTATATAATGTATTTTTCAGAGTATAAGACACACCTTTTCCCCTCTAAAAGAGGCTGAATTACTCCGAATGTAGCTTTTTCTAAGCTTTTTTACAGCCCTAATGAGGGGCAAACAAGTGAAGCGATCTTCCATGCTTTGCCTGCTTTTCTCATTGCTGCTCCCTCCGAAGATCAGCTGTGCTTTAGAAGCTGTTTTTCAGCCCTAATGAGGTGCTACGGAGTGAAGCAATCTTCCAGGCATCCCCTGCTGTTTTCATTGCTTCTCTCTTCGATGATCAGCTGTGCTTTAGAAGCTGTTTTTTATCCCCAGCTAGGAGATCAAAAAGCCTGTGCACGCGCACGCTCAAAACCAGCAAACTTATGTGCTGAAGCTGACCAGACTCTAGCTAGATGAATACCTTGTAGGCAGAATTTTTCCCCCTATTTTCCTCCCCCCAAACTAAGGTGTGTCTTATACTCTGGTCCGTCTTATACTCTGAAAAATACGGTATGTTCCCCAGGGGCTGAGGAAGGCCATACTTTGTGTAGACCAGTGCTTTTCAACCTTGGCAACTTTAAGATGTGTGGATCACTCTTCTTTATGTTGCCAAGGTTGAGAAACACCGGTGGAAACAGTTTGCGAGGCCAGTTCTTGACATCGCATTAAAAGAAGAAACAGGATGATTAGGTGATGGACAAAGAGTACAATTTGACACAAGGAAAATTTTTATTACTTCATTTCAGACTTATGTCCCTCCCCAAAAGATAAAGTCTTCTAGAGCCAAGCTCAACTCTTGCTGATTTTGTGGGTTTGTGATTCATGTTGTTTCCTGGACCACAAAATGGGAATGGTTTCCTCATTGTCTTTTTTCCTTTGTCTTTTCAATTTAGCCTTACTTGGCTTTTTGAGATCAGCCAAGTTAGTAAGATGCTACCTTAGCTAGATACGTTTGTCTGCAACATAAACTATTAATTTGCTGCTTTGAGGATGAAAGTACTAGTTGAGGGTAGGGCACATACCTCTCTTTTTTAAATCACTTATTTAAAATCTTGGTAGTCTGTGTGACTATGTTCATATATAAAGTTTTTTTTCTGTCTATAACCATGATGGCGAACCTATGGGATTTATTTTAGGTAGAGGTGGAAAGATATAAAGAAAGAGATAGAGAAATACAGTGATAGAGAAAGAGATAGATTGATAGAGTTTTTAAGTG